TATAGTGTTTGCGAAGTGGAATTTATTTACATGGCAAATTAGATTGGAATAATACTGTCTGTGTGCTTTAATGGATCATGATGAGGTCGGCAACAAAATATGTTGATAGTTCAGAGAGCTTCTTAATTCATTTATTTCACGTCGATCTTTGTTCCGTAATCTATACACTACCTATTGTGAGGCTAGTGGGTAGATCCTAAGGAACAACTGGTTTCTTTTAGTCTGTGACGTGTTCAACTGTCACTAGAAAGTTCCGTTGTTTCCCCTGATACTCTTAGAAAAAAAACAGTTGAAAATTGTGATCAGAAACTGGTTAAATTTTCATCGCCTGGTGTTGTTGTGTAATTCACATTTAGCACAAATGGAACATTAGCGAATATGGTCTTTTATGTAGCTGTTCATCCCAGGTCACAATAGACTAGTTTTGGCCAACTTCATAGTTGATTCTATTCCGACACCTACATGAGCGATCGTCGAAGGGATGCAGGAATCCCTTCATCTCTTTTCTTTCATGCTACTTAGAATTGTTCAAAATCCTCCATTTGGGATGACTGTAGTCCTCCCTGAGATGGCCTGGAATCTCCCTGGAATTGTACGGTATCCCTTCTGCGATTGTTTGGGATCCTCTCTGTTGGGTTTGCCCGAAGTCCTCTCTGAAATTGTCCGGAAGCCGTACTGAGATTGTATGAAATCTTTTCTGATAATTATCTGGAATCACCCCTAGCCTAGTTCAGAAGGAAGATTATCATAAATCCCATTTTCGATTGACTGGAATCCTTCCAAAGATTGTCCACAGTCTTCTAGGGAATGTCCAGAATCCCTCTGGGCCTGTCCTGAATCCTTCTTGTGATTGTCAATCAGAATCCATATTAGGGGTGATGCACATATTATGTCACGCTCTAAGGGGGGAGCCCTCCCACCCGGGTTATCGTTTTGTGGCAAACAATGCATGAGGTATAGGAAAAACGTCACGATAGGGGAGGGGGGGGGTTATTTTTCCTCAATTTAGCGTGACATAATAAATGGATCGCCCCTTGTGTGGTTGCTAATGTTTTGCAGCCTGCTATACGAAAGTGCAATTGCCTTTCCATTGCCGAAATATCTTCTCGGTTAAACTTTAGTTAGAAAGGGCTCCGCCTAAAATGTTGAAATACGTATTACAAATCTGCATATGCAATTACGCTCCTTTGAAATGTTGCCACTGAATTATCTTTGCTTGACAGCATCGTTTTCAACACAACAACCAGGTTGCTATGTGTAAATGTTGTTGAGAAATGCGAGTTACTCATGGTTACTTAAAATTAACTCCGATTGTACTCAAGATCGAAAGCTGTCTTGCCCCAAGGATTTGACCAATGATGCCAGGAAAGTATTTTTTTTTTCTATTTTAATTTGGATTTTATCCGGAGATTCTACCGCAGTTTAGCAGCTTGTACATCCTTTTTTGCTCAACAAAATAAAAACAACCATGAACAATCAATAATATCCATCGCTTAAAACACGCAGTGCACTCAATATTTCAACTTTCCTTTCGCAAATATAAACAATTAGCAACGCCACATTTATGCTGGCATCACTACCAGCCAGATTGATGCGATCCCTCTGTCCTTTTTATTCCACGATTGCTTCTGTCAAATCGACCAATCATAAACTAAAGCCCTACACTCAAAAGTATTACAAAACGAATATAGATTAAATTTTATGCATTTTATGGTTATTCAAAATTTATACATTGGTTCGATTAAAATTTTCGTCAAAATTATACTAAGTCCAAATAACGGAGTGGAATTCGATCAGTGTTTACTAAAATGACAGGAATAAGAACATCTGGATTCCCTTCGGAGCTTTGTGCTGGTGAAGGTCTTTGTCCCAGCGGATTTCTACTGCGCCTGTAATCTGCTGGGCAGCATCGAAATTGTAAGTATTTTTTTAAATATTATTAATAAAAAATAAAGTAATGAAAAAAGCTTCCTGAGACAATTTTTATTTTCATTTGAAAACAATAATATTTACCATAAATGAAATAAAGAAGCGAAAAATACATTCTCTCGAATAAACCGTATCTATGCATTGTAGGAATATTTCGATTTTATACTATGGCACGCATAAACCATTTTTATACTAAGTTTGCATTCTCTCCCTTTATACCGACCTTTGCGTCGGTACGGAGAGTTGAGATTTAGCGTAGCTTTTATACTATTTAGATTTCAATATTTTTTGAGTGTACAGTAAAAGTATGGATGTCTGTCAAAAGTTGTTCCAATCGAAGCTAGGGGCAAGACAGCTGTACTCAGAGTAAATTTATTTGCGGCGAGTAAATTTGAGTTACTCACATTTACTCAAAAATAATCAAAGTAGTCTCGATTTTCTGATCAAAGAAAATATCGTCTGACAGCATATTATTATATTTTCAATATAAACACAGTTTTCAAGCATTAAAAGATTCAAAGCAGACCAGTAATCGATTGGTTAAAGTGTTGTCGTTGAAGATTTTTGATGATGTGGTGGTGTTATTTCAGGACTACATGTTGGTAGTCGACCAGATATTTGAGAATTTTCTGCCCTGTGAACATAAATAGCTTGCACAGTCTGTAAAAGATCCCTCTTATCTTGTTGAACTAATTTCAGACATTAGGAAATCCAACATAAATGTTAAGGTATATAGTGAAAAGTACAACTACTCGGAAAAAAATCCGTTCCCGAAAACGGGAACGGACCGTGAACTAAAAATCACGGCCAGCTATCCAGAACAAAATTTTCTCAAATATACACCGTGAACTATGGTTCACGGCTGTGGTTCACGAATATGGGAACTCTTTTTTTCCCGTGTAGGTTCTAAAGTCATAACGTTTAACTATTCGTTCGTACCGGCAAGTGTAGTAGCAGGAAACTCCTCGAGCTTGGTCTCAGGGTTTACTTATTGCTTGGTAGTCCAAGGGACTTCGTTAACAAGTCCAGCAATATGGAAGAAGTATACTAAAAATCCTCGAGAGAGAGAGGGTGAGAGAGACTCAAGCGAAGGATAATTTGACGTGAGATGCTCCGGATGACTTTTTTTGTTCAAGGCAAAAAGCTCAGAGTTCACCCAGGATGAGAGCAAGAGCGTGTGATAGAAAACATGACAATGAGTGGCAGCAAACCTCACTCCCGTTTTACCCCCCTTCCCGCACAAGCTGCGAGGCTAGATACTATGATTTGAGAGTAGGAATTCTACTCCTCAGAAAAATGCTACGCTCGGCTCATTTAAGACTCGTGAGTGAGGCCCTATCAAGCCTGGCGGTGATCTCCTTCACATGGTACGATTAAAAAAACATCGAGTTGAAGGTTTGTAACAGAACGGTTACATGTATCAGGCGTTCGTGTGTTATACACCAAATACCTCCATATTGGACTGATCAGAAACTCAGATCAAGCTTCACTTCGCTTAACAATCAGAGACCAATACCAACCTCTGGTCCGACTGGAGGTTTGAAACTCGGAAATGTTACCTCTAACCGAAAAGGAACATTCCCTCTTTGGCACGGTCACTCCGATATCGTCATAGGCCGTGTCAATTTTAGCCAACGAGGGAAGACGCCTGGAAGGCTTCCAAGTCACACACGAATGACAAGCCCCGTCAAACCGGCGTGCAGTCAAACCACCATTCCCCATTGGTTCGGAAGACACCAGTCACCGTTCGTCGACAGCAGTAGCAGCGAGTAATTGCTGTTCGTCGCCAGATCGTCGGCATCAGCAGCAAGGTAGCAGTGGTACGTGCCGAAGAAAACCCCAACAAAAACAAACAGTAGTTTCCCCGCCAATCCATATCTTATCTTTCAGTTCATACTCCGCAATGATATCTAGTCAGGTGACCGTACACTGCACATCTCACTCTAGGCGAGGGCTGGCCTAAGTTACAGGGCAAGAGTATTTTAAAACATCCAGTTTTTTTTTTTTTATTATAGAGATTTTTAGCCATATGGCTAGTTCATCTCTTTAAAACCTCCAGTGAGTTTGAGAAATTTCATCAAGTCTGGACACCGCTTTTGAGCAGACGGGCCTAATAGCTAAGGAGAGATTCCCTTCCCGGTTTGACAGACTGTACCCTTGCCGTCGTGGACCGGCTTTGTCTGAAGGAAGCACCTGTGTATCGGGACCAGCTCCACAATCCATCATACCAGCCAATTATCAAAACACCACACCGCTAAACCAAACCGCCATTGCACGACAGCCCACGAACGGTAGACGCGCTAGTCAGACCGCCATTCGCTGATAGACCAGTCAGCCATTCATCGTCCACTATCGCCAGAATCGTTCTGAAATTTCAGTGAGCGCTCGCTGGACTGCATTTGTCGTAGTTGTCGTATCCCACACACGACACTACTCACTCCTAAGTGTATTGAGGAATGTTTGGACAATATAATGGTTAAGTTGATCCACTCCGGGTTTTAATTCATTTGAAAGCTTGAGTACACGAAGTCCCTCCAGTTTTCCCGGTAGTGCACCGACTGTGCGACACAGTTCGTAGAGTTTCATGCTGCTGAGTCGTTGTCGAGCAGAACATTAGTTTCATACAGTATAAGGCAATGGTGGCTTATCTAGGTGGCCATCTACGACGTTCATCTTCTCCTCATCCCACTTCATGGATTGGGAGTTTGTTGGCACTTTTTTAGATTCTACCACCCAGGATATAGTCCTTTGTCCATATAAACTGTTACACACATTCTGCTTCTACCAACTAACATGCATAAAACACCCATACAGTCGAAAGTTATATCTCTGAAATATTAAAGATTATAGATTATAGTTTATCATTTTCCTTTTTTAATTAATACATACATCGAGATTCATCATTGAAAACTGGAAAGCACGTCAACTTACTTTGCTTGACAGCATCGGTATCAACATTGTTTTCAATATAACAATCAGGTTGCTATGTGAATAAGGTATTGAGCAACACGAGTTACTCAGAGTTACTCAAAATTAACTCCGATTTTACTCATGATTGATAGCTGTCTTACCCCCAGAATCGAACCGTCAAAATGCACCGCTTTGCTGGATTCGAGCAGCTTTTTTTCAGTTTTGTGGTGACAGTCGTCCATACTTTAACTAGAGGGCTTTATCAGAAACTGGTTCGGATTTGACAGCAAATTGGCTCGAAATCGCTCGGGTAGATGAATTTAAGTGACGAACGACCAGCAGATGGAAATGATGTGAAAAATGATAATGACGTTTTGCTGCCTGTCAAATCGTATGGAATATTTTTTAGTACATCATCAGTTTTGTAATTTCAAATCTGAAAACTAGGTGTCACATGGCCAGTTTTACCTTTGCTTAAATTCATCAATTAATAATGTTTTGTTGTTTTTGACATCATCCACATCCAGAGGGCCAGTTACTTTCGAATGTATGGGAATGGTGGGAAACCATTTGGAAATGCATGGAAATTTTCATTTTTTATTCATTATCTTCTTTATGAGCAGTTTTAGATGCACAAAAATTGCACGAGTACATTACTATGGTGATAAGGTAAAAACTCGTTAATTTGTTTCCTTCTGTGAAAGCATGTTTAGTCACAAATCGTGGAATTTCTGATATTCTCCGTACTGCAAAAATGATACTCCTACTAATGAAGGGGTGACATCTCTCGGATCTTCAGTATAGCTACTATTCAAATCATATAATTAATTCAGTGCCAACATTTCAAAGGGGCGTAATTGGATTTGTAAACAATGATTTTAGTCGTCGATTTCTCGCGAATGAAAGCTCACTCATAAAAATGAATGACACCAGCAGGTAGAGAAATGTTTCCTGTACTAGCCAGCATTGGTAATTTGGAAGGGTGGGCTTTTATTTGCGAGAAATCGAAGGCTAAAGCCATTGTTTACAAAAGCAATCACGCCCCTTTGAAATGTTGGCACTGAATTGTCAAGTCCGTCCCAGGCGGAAACGACCGTGCAAAAACTATTTCATTATAGGCGACGCAGTCGGCTGTCAAAATACAAGAAATTAGATTCCCTGTTGTAAAAGTTCTCGAGTTTCTATACGTTCGCCCGACCATCAGGCCAGGGTGGCCAGACCTACCGAATTTCGGGGTGCCTACCGATTCACAGATGAAAGGTTCAAAACTACCGATGTTTCACTTTTCCTACCGAGAGTCACAGATTTTTAGATTAGAATTGATGAATTTACGCGAAACTGCACAAGTGCATGCGACACCTAGGTTTGATATCCGAAACCACAAAAGTGATGATGTACTAAAAAAAATTCATACGATTTGACAGGTAGCAAAACGTCATTATCATTTTCACATCATTTCCATCTGCTGGTTGACCGTAACGTAAATTCATCAATTAGAAAAATTGATTTCGACACGTTTAAAACAGAAAAAAAAATGAAGGATAGTGTATTGTTCTGGAGTAGTCAGTGGTTTGCGTGGGTGTACTTCGGTTCTCGTGAAAAGGACCTAACAAATTATTTACAAAAGTTGATAGACCCGTTTCAAATGTTACGTGAGTATTATTCATGTGTTCATTTTTAGTAAACATGGCCCCGCTGTTGTGTCACTTTTTGCCGAGTGAGTGAACTCAAATGCATCCGTGCACTCGTCCATTGTCTTCTCTTCCTCACCGTCGGGGTTAACCTCAATCTGATGACAGTTTAGTGGTACTGTTTACGTAGACTTAGCCGATTTTTTCTTGGGTGGATTTTCTCGATAATTTTTCAGACTGCAGTGAGATGTAAACCACATTTCTGCAATGTTCACGAGCAACATCCTTGCAATGCGCTGTTTCTCGAAAATTTTCAAGTTAAAATACGGAAATTTTAAAATATATATTTTTCGAAAAAACGACTAAGTGCTTGTAAACAGTACCACTGAACTGTCAAAAAAGTTCAGCCGATTAACACTGAGTTCATTCGTGACGTCACGCTGCAGAACCTAATTAGGTTTTGCACCGTCGGGGTTAACCTCAATCTGATGACAGTTCAGTGGTACTGTTTACATGGACTTAGTCGATTTTTTTTCTTGGGTGGATTTTCTCGATAATTTTTCAGACTGCAGTGAGATGTACACAGCATTTCAGCAATGTTCACGAGCAACATCCTTGCAACGCGCTGTTCCTCGACAACTTTCAAGTTAAAATTCAGAAACTTTAGAAATTTTTTTTCTAAAAAACGACTAAGTGCTTGTAAACAGTACCACTGAACTGTCAAAAAGGTTCAGCCGTTTAACACTGAGTTCATTTGTGACGTCACGCTGCAGAACCTAATAGGGTAGATCCTAAGAGAAGAGGTGACAATACGGAGGCTAAAATGAACCACTTTTCTGTCAAACGTGAACCAGCTCCTGATTGGCCGACTTCATGTGCGTAAGATAGAGATAGAGATAGATAAAGACTAAGAGAAGATGCAACAATGGATGAGTGCACCGATGAATTTGAGTTCACTCACTCGAGAAAAAGTGACACAAGCTGCGGGCAATGTTTACTAATCATGAACAGTAAATGTTCATGAATAATTAATAATGAACATTTGTGTCACTTTTTCTCGAGTGAGTGAACTCAAATCCATCGGTGCACTCGTCCATACGGGGGCGAAAATGAATCACTTTTCTGTCAAACGTGAACCAGCTCCTGATTGGCCGATTTCATGTGCGTCAGATAGAGATAAAGATAGATAAATATAGAGATAGAGATAGAAATAAAAGAGGAAGAAGCCAATTGTTACCTCTTCCTCTTAGGGTAGATCGCACTCGTTTTTGCCTGCTGTATGGAGTATAGTCGCTATATTCATAGAAAAGGTACTATGAACTTTTATAAACAAAACGTGGATTATTCTTTCCTCGCCAATCGAACGCAAATTACCGGCATCATCGGATAGGGGAAACTTTCACCAACCCAAAGATGGTGTTAGTTTACGTAGGCGAGCCTTGAGTCACGAGAAAGGGGTTGCCGAAGTTTTGTTCGCAATAGCTGATGTGCTCTTTTCTGTTGTTGGTCGTGATTTGCTCGATTGGTTCCGCTATTTGACAGCTCAATTGGTTCCCGAGATTCTATCCGCCAGACTATGAATATAGCGAGGAATATAGCGACTATAGTATGGAGTTGTCAAAAGATGAGTCAACCGGTTTTGCTCCGGTGATTGAAATCTAACCTACTACTGAATGAGATTTTAGATGCTGTTCCGACTTGTTCTACAGAGTTTGCTCACGATCAGGAACAGCAGCAGGATTGGAAGCAGCAGCAGCCGTAAAAGCTGCACCATTCATTCTTATAACCGTGGCCGAGGCTGGAAACCTTGATCCTTGATTGAAACCAACGAAGAAGGATCCAGACGATTTTGACAGAGATTCCACACGATTGTGATGGATAAGGTTCCATACGATATCGGTGGAGATTTCAGATGCTGTCAAAAGTTCCAAGAGATTCCATGCAATTTTTACATTGTTTCCAGACAATTTCAACGGAATACACACTTAATCTAGCTCGGTAAAATCTCCAACAGTGGATTACCTCAGAATTTATTTTTGCTGATATCTCTGCAAAATATGTGTTTGTTACTTGATATCTCAGCAAAATAATATGTGTTGGCTGAATCTCAGCAAATTAATGTTTGTGATGGAGTAGGTTTTAGACGATTCGGTGCAGATTTCAGATGCTGTCAATGAAGGTTCCAGACGATTTCAACGGGAGATGGTGTAACCAGTGGTTCCTAATAGTTACTTGTGGGCTCCTCCACAAGTTTCCTCATCTCAATTGGCCCTCCTGCCAGTGAGCACCTTAGACCAATTCCCAAATCCCATTAAAATATTGGACAGCCTTACTGGTGGCCGAAACTCCTCTGTCCGTTCAAAAAGCACCCGTTACGCATTTCACCTTTGTCGTTTATTGACAGCGGTTTGAGTCCGGACTCCAAACGGTTTAGCATTAATCGACATCCTGGTCGGAATGGTTGCCAACTGTTACGAAGTCTGGTTTACAAACTTCGGGTCTTCGAACTATAGAAGCAAAAAAATATATAATAGATGACCGATGGCGGTGACCACTGAAGAGAGTGGAAGTGCGCGTCGGTTGTAAAATTAACGTTGTAAGCCCTACAATAGAGAAGTGCTTCGTGTGAGTGAGCAGAAAGCCTCGAACACGTTAAAAGTAGGCTGTGTTTAGTGAACAGTGTTGAAAACGGATTATCGTCCGAACGCTTAAGCCGTCGATACACGGTACGAAAAGTGCGAACATGTAAGAAAAGGTCCGTAGTCGGGCCTTTTCTTGCCCCCCCTTCGGGATCGATTCCTGCAGAATATTTCTTCACAGAATAGGCCAGAATTGCGGAAGTTTCATCCGTCGATCACGGATTGACGCCCAAAGCACGTTGGTGTTCAGACGAAGCTTGAGTGGATCTCCACAAAAGGTTGATTTTCGAGCACCGCTCGGCCGTTTTCAACAAGTCATCGTACCACGTGCCCAGATTCAACCAGTGGTAGCAACGAAGACGGTGTTGTGGAACCAGGCTAGGCTCCCCGGTGGTCAGACGAGACGCCCTCTGCCAGCTGGTGTCAAACTGGTGCCGCTAGTCCTACGGTATGCATCCCCCGTTCACCACCACTGATTGAACCGACCCCGGATCGGCCGGACAACGGCAAGTTGCCCTGGGAAGGCCCGCTCATCGTTTCGTCCGCCATCGTCTATGCATGCCAACGTAGATTATCGTCATCAAAAAAAAAGCACAAGTACACCCGAATGTCTCTCTAAAAACTCTCTCTAGAGCCCATTGTGGGACGAATAAATCTAGCATGTAAACATATTTGTCGGCTACTATTACTTCAGAAAGCACTCCCTAAGTTCCTTCTTTCTTTGTTCTCGATTCTCGTGCCCACAAAGGGGTATACAAGCCTCGCTCTTTTTGGTCCGCTTTTAGAACCGCTACTTTGGATCATCTCCACCTAGTTTCTAAAAATTGATTGGTTGCTATTCGTTCAGGAACTGTCCACCGACAATTGTGTGGCTCCTGCCAAGGTTGAAGTTGCGTAACAGTGTTCAAGAATAAACGACCCCGTGCTCTGCGAATATCCTTCCTGAGAGAATTCCCTTCGGAGCGGCCTGGG